ATTTATGCTGAATATAAGGAACTAGACCCTGACATCAGGATGTACTCGTGCCCTAAAGGTGTTATAAAGTGCTGCCTTATACATTACTTTTCAAATTGAGCTCATTTAAAACTTTTCTCTTGTTTGCCTATATGACCAACCATGTCTTTCTCAATTTTCAAAAATTGCTCGCCCGAGTTGACGCAGTCTAAGCGGGTCTGGTTTAGATATAAAGAATGTACCAAAGGCATATGCAGTTCATCTATAGGAACTGATATCAAATATATCAAGAGTAAAATTTGTGAAAGTAACTCCTTGTTGATTACATTTAGCAGCTTTTGAAGGAACTAGATATACAATAATTTTTGACAAATCTTTAAAAGCGTAGACACGGTATACATCGTACGGCAATGCAGACGTGACTCAAATCGTTCACTCTGATAGTCTTTCGTGTGAAAAAAAGTAAAAATATGGATAGACTTATTCTAATTATAGTAATTTAAAGGTCAAGTATACCCAGTATCATGCAGAATCAGACAGTTTGGCACCGTGGCCCCGCTCTACAAAATCTTCATCTAGGAATACTTCTCCGTGAAAATGAACTATTTGGCTCGATACACCAACCTTTATGACCTAAATCAATGTCCTAATACATGCTCTTACACAGATGAATGTTTTGGAATGACATAAGGTCTTGAATATCAAAGAGTTCTAAAAAGCTTCACGAGTGACTCTCCTGTTCTATGATACGCTTGTTTACAGACAAGTTCGTAATGTGTATTTCGCATAGAGATCGGAGGGCGATCGGGAGACCCGAATGCAAACTTCTGACATGAAAAAAAACATCAACAAAATTATACGCGCTGCATTTTCTGACTCGTGACCCGACCTAGGGACTGGTCACGAGTAATAAACCGAGCATCCATTTATACCCGGCATTTCACTTGTTGATTCCAAATGTACAATACGGCAACCCACTGCCTTTTGAATCGCTTGATTCCTCTCTAAAGTCATTTGCAGCCGCTTCATAAACCACGAGATGAAAGAATATCCCTAGAAAGATCGCCAGTTTCAAGCCATTATACATTCTTTATTCGGCACAAAAACCTACCATGCAGTATTACCACAGGTAACGGCCAGGCTCAATAACTTAGTATAAAATATGTCGTTCGCACAATTTTGTTTTTATTTATGTTAGAATAATATTATTTAGGCAAAAAAAAAATTGTGCGAACGACATATTTTATACTAAGTTATTGAGCCTGGGTTACCTGTGGTATTATACACGAAAAAGCGCCAAATTTATCCATCTATTTGAATGTTGCGGTAACACGATACAACGAGCATGCGTAGTTAAGTTTTAAGGCTATAACCTTTAGTCACTAAATAAAAATAGACAAATTTCTTCATGTACTGACTCTAATCACGAGAAGAAAAGTTGAATTATACATTGAAAATCCAAAACGTCATGAGATCRTCATGAATGCTCGCTCTATCAAAAGAGTATGTGTCAATAATGTATAAACCAMARGTAACAAAAAGTATTTATTTGAAATAACGCCAGAGAAAGMTAAAAACGCAGAAAAATGGATGATTTATGTATGGGAACTTTGCGTGRCARCTGTCACTTGAAACCATAGATGCAAATGTTAACAGTGAGTTTCATATGAGCACAGTCACAAAGCCAAAAGTGGAAAAGTGATGTTTAACAGGAACCATTCGCCACCCCTACTCGGCTGTCAATTGTGATAAATCGGGATAGTTTACAGAATGAATCAGAATAAATTCATCAAATATTTGTCAACATTGGAAAAGTGATGTTTAACAGCAACGTGAAGATGATTTGATATTTCATTGCAAGTTTTGTCGCGGATTGGATGACGTTTTAAAGCAAGCTGTTGTTAGTTTCAAGCCATTAAGAAAATCGCTTTGTACTCYAATACAGAGAAATCTCATTTCAAGGGACATATCATGACGAACTTTATTTTCCGCAATCACATTCCGTTGGGAATAGTCTTATTTCTCATGTCATCGTGTCATTTCTCTTCGTCTATCGAAGTCAACATCACTATTTTCCGAAACTCCACGATTCCTCCATGGASAAATTCACGTGACAGATTCAATATTTCGTCAAGAGAGAAGTGCGATAATAACAGTGATGTTTGTACAACGTTTGGCGGCACTAAATTACAAGACAACTGTCAATGYACTTGCAGTGAAGATAAAAGTACTTTTGGATTTTATGATGGAAAGTGGAAATGTACAAAGAACTCGGTTGTGCGACAGCATTCAGGTGAAGAAATGATTGTTATTTTCTAAATAAAAAACTATTTTAGTATCAAATCATCGTACAACTGTACAAAATCTAAGTAGTACTAATTTGTACTAAAAGTGGACCTGAAGCAAGACGGTATTGAATGCTTAATTTGTATCAATACAATTTGATTTGCGTAGACTAAAGCAGACGATTTGCTAAATACAACTAAATAGCACTATTTACTTTGTACAGTTGCATGGTTTAAGTGCGATCTCTTATTGGGTCGGCACAAAACTAAAGAACGTTAAGGTAAGTTTAGGGGGAGCACTACATCTGTTGAACAAATAGTACAAAATACTACTAAACAGCACTGATCAGACGGATCAGACAGACTTAATTCTTTAAATTTATGTATCTATTTCAGGCTGCTCGTACCACTTGCAGGAATTCTATATCGGTGATGTTAAAGACGATCCATTGTATACTTTACCAGTTCTTAGTGTTCGTAAAGGTTATAACTTGGTCTTCGGTATTCAACATGGTAAAAGCTGCAATTTTACTAGAAACGAAGCTACGTTCTTGAAGTGCGATGGAACCTGGGGCCAACTAAACGAGCAGAATTTTGAAAACGTTTTATTWTTGACGTCGTCAGGGCTCAGACTTTTCGTTGGTCCGGTAAGTTATAGATATGACTTTCACTACTATCTTTTCTTTGCCTTTCTTCAATTGGAATTGACGCGTCCTTYTGAAAATCCATTGTTTCAGAGTAGCTATGCCAGATCTGTGTAAGGAGAATTCAAGAACAGGAATCCATTTCGCTCTTACAATGCCATATGGACTATACTCCAGTTTTGAGATCTTATTTGTGCAGCCTTAACCTCGAAAGCATGTAAAATATTCTTTTATAAAACAGAGAATCTATTGTAATGCAAACATTCTGTGTACAAAGAAGGCAATAAAAATTTAAGCTTGATTGAAGCTAATCCAGTACACAAAAGAGAATTCGAAACTGGAATATTGTAGTATTCAGTACCCAATGTTTCCTTTCTCATGTACACAGTGCCTAAGTTATTCAAATATGCATTAACTTGGATTAATTAACTATGCTCCGCTTTTTTAGTAYATCCCACCKGTTCGGAAAAATGTTTTGACTGGCAAACTAATCAGAATTCCTATCGAATGCAGTGGCATAACCTGGTCTCCTTCCCAGTGTGTGGCTCTGAAACTGAAAGGAAATTTAAATTGTATGTAATTTCCTGGTAATTGGTTAGTATATTGTTTAAATTTTTTGTAATACTCCAATTTCGAGTTCTGGTTTGCTCTGTGTTAGCCTCAAAACCAAGTAACATATTCTTTTGTTTTTATTGATAGCACGAGAAAACGCATGAAATTCGAAAAGAAAGACAATAGAATGGAATTGAAATCTCACACTTTTATTCTCACAATTAGGAATATTTTGCGCACAAATGAGGCTAGCACAGAGCATTGGAGAATTCGAAACTGGATTATTGCCATGCTAAAAAGTAGAGCTCTGCTTAATTTTTTTGCGGAATTGCAACAACTTGCAATGCAATTGCGCAGTGAATTACCAGTAACTTTTCTGGCAATTTCTTAGGAGTTCAAGTTCATTCGCAAATTCTCAAGTGTATTTTTTTAATTTGCTAGGTTTATTAGTGAATATAACCACTAACTATAATAAAACACCTCAATCAACACTGCAACCACCAGAAACTACTGTAGATGTAAGTACTACCATTACATGTAACTTGTTGGGTGAAAAGTCTGAAATAATAAGTCAGTCCAGCCATAMCGTATTTACTCGAATAGACTCCACGGCGTTTATTTCATTTTTCACTATCCAGCTGCGTCGTTTCACTGGAAAAAATCGCGCGCCATAAAGGTTGTAAATTTGATGGATATATGATGTAAGTGTCCAAAATGATGTAAATTTGATGGAAATGATTTACATCAAATTTACATCATTTTGGACACTTACATCATATATACATCAAATTTACAACCTTTAAAGCGCGCGATTTTTTCCAGTGTTTATTCGAGGGCGGCGTCTATTCGGGGGCGGCATTTATTAAAAAAAACACTTTTATACAGTAATAAATACCGTACTTTATATTGTATATTTTTACTAACAAACAATAACGATTCTCAATATATAAATGTTGTGTTCAAATTCGTCGATTCAATTTATGTTTTAAACCAGWGTCAAGCTAACATTTCAACATCAATGTCCTCCTGGTGGTCGGACCTCAAAAATCACATTTTGTGTGTTTAAATTTCTGTACCAAAAAAACACCGACTCGACCGCCATCTTGGATACGGATTTCTAAATGCCCGTATGTTTACAGGAAAAAATTAGTGACTTATTAACTAGTCCACCTCACACACATCACCTCCCTCCTATAACTCTTCGATTGCTTCGCAATCTTCGAGTTAAAAATAGGCAAGACTTTAATAAGGAAGAATAGTCTGCTTCACATTTCTCTACAGCGCCATCATCGTGACGATTACCTTTTCGTGGAAGCGTTACAAGTAACACGTGTTATGAACTAAGACACGACTGAAGTATTAGTCTATACCAACAGACTATTTACAGTATATTATGAACTCAATATTGTTTAGTTTTGTACGACGTTCCTGAGGTATATTGCAGTTTATGATGTTCAATATTTTTCACTTACTCAGAGTAAGACTACAGCCATCTCTAAGGACTC